GGACAAGGAAGGAGTCTCCCCAGCCAGATGCACTTGGAATTGCTTCCTGCAGTAAAGAAAAAAAAAATAGGCCAAGGAATCAAAATCTTAAGTGAGCTCTGAGCCAGGGGAAGGGTCCCAGCACCTGTTGTAGAGGAGTCACCCATCTCTGTCTCTCAAGTCAGGGGTCACCCCTCCTCCCAGAGCCAGAGTGGGCACTGAGCGTCTTGGTGGGGTTGTTGCCCCTGCTGCTGCAGGCTGGTGGAGCCCTCCTCTGCAGAATGGAGGCTCCGGTCTAGGGGTTCTGCAGGCTAGGGTAGGGGGGCAGGGCCAGGGTGAACACTCCTGCGCTGACAGGACACACACTGTGCTGTGATGACTTGAGCTTTAGCACAATCCTGCAAGGAGGGGACTAGACATTCTTGTATGGAAAAGGAAACTGAAGATCAGAGAAGCAAAACGCACTTGCCCAAAGTCACAAGCTAGCTAGGAGTGGAGCAGAAAGGAGCACACTGAAGCTCGCCATGATTCACACTTGAAAGAAAATAAAATACAACACAGGATAGTGAATTTGCAATGAGCTGAGTCCCATGACTGTGCCGCTGGCCCAGGAGGGCAAGTCCTCATGCCATACCTGTGTAGCTGGCACCCAGGGACACGCTGGTGCTGGCAGCGGCTTCCGCGCCCACACTTTCTCCAGGTCTTTGACCCGCAGGCTCCGTCTGCCCTCAGTCCTATCCTGGCTCTGCCTTGCCCTGCCACCTGCCTCAGGGACTCTACCTGCAGATTGTACCTGTTCCTGGCCCCAGCTTTCTCCTTCATCTTCCATCTCAAAGGCCTAAGTGTATTTGGCTCCTCTGACCCAGTAAATCCATGTCAGGAAATCTGCCCAAGAAAATAATCCTGAACATGTCTGAAGATTTATATAAAGATGTTCACCACAGTGTAGTTTAAAACTATGAAGCGTAACCAACCATCTAAAAGACCAGGATCAGGATCCTGTTCTGGGGGAGTTGGCACTGATTTCAGACCCTGGGAACCTGATAAAAATCTACGCATGGGGCCCAGACATTTGCCTTTTTAAAACCCCCCAGGGGGTCCTGATCCACAGCCTGAGTTTTCGGGGCTGAAAACCATTGGTGTCACCTGCTGGGGCATGTGCAGCCATCGTAAATGACAGTTAGGATGTTTCTGTATGATGTGAAAACGCTTATATATACTAAAGGGTAAGACTGAATTAAGACCTGGGGTAAAGGACTGCTTTATCAGAGAGATCTCAAACTGTCTGAAAGAAAGTAAAAAAAAAACCCAAACCAAAATGAAATAAAATAAAGACAAGCCCAAACTCTAGGACCTAGGTGGAGACATGCCAACGTGGTATCTTGACCCCACATGAGATGGCGCTGTCTCATTTCTAACCGTTACTCTAACCCTGTCTTACCCAGAGCTACTTTTATAACCAGAGACACAGTAAAAAGACAAATGGCCGCTTGGCCCCTCGCAGCCGGCCACCCTGCAGAAGCACCAGGGACCCGTTCTCCCCAGTCATGCAGCTGCAGTTCCCCTCCCCCTTCTTGGGCTCATGTGCTTTCCAGTCACGATTTTACTTAATCTGCAAATACTCTTGTATGGGACATGTTGTTACCCCATTTTTCAGATGAGGAAAATTTTCTGGAATTAAATCTATGATTTAAAACCACCTAGGGTAAAACCACATGGTAATGACCTTTGGCTCAATGCTGGGCTGGAAAATTTCAGGCCCTCTTGCTTACCTTGTGGTCTAACAGAAGAAAGCCATTCTGGCACAGAGGAGTGGGACTAAAGCATGACAGGTCTGCCACATCCCACTGATTCTAAGAAGAGCTCTTACCGGTGGAGCGTCTTTGAAATCTGGAACTACACCCACAGTGCCCTTCATTATAGTTGGTAGCTCTCCTTTCCCTTTCTGTTTTTTTTTTTTTTTGGAGAGGTTTTCACTATAGGGCGCGTGTGCTCGCCAGAAAGAGAGAGACAGAGAGAGAGAGAGCGAGAAATCACCCCCAGGGGGGATGGCCACGCCGCAATCCCTTCTCCATTCTCCTCTTGGGATCTTGGGCAGGCACGCACAAGCGCCCGGCGTGAGTTTAAGCCACCAGGTCTGGGACTTGAACCACAGTTGGCTACATGGGAGTCCAACAACATAGCCATTACGCTAACTGCTGGTCCCTCCTTTTTCTTTCTTCATGGTACACAAACTAAAGTTTTATCTTTTTTTTTTTAAAGAGAGATTTTTGCTCTAGGGTGCATGTACTCACTGAAGAGACAGAAAGCAAGAAAACACCTCCCAAGGTGGATGGCCATGCTGCAACCGCTTCTCCTCCATTCTCCTCTCAGGATTTTGGGCACGTGCACACACACGCCCAGCGTGAGTTTTAAGCCACCAGGTCTGGGATTTGAATCATGATCAACTATGTGGGAGTCCAGCAACGTAACTATTATGCCACCTGCTGTTTCCACCAATGGTATTTCTTATAGCTGAGTGGCAGCTGGGATTCAAAGAAAAGAGCCCTATCCACAACCAAACCAATGACATGGACGACACGGTTCTGTAATACTCCATTACACCTACGTGCATTTTTTAACGTTTGCTATAGGGCATATGCACTCACCGGAGCGAGACAGGGAGACAGGTAGAGAAAATGGGCAAGCATCACTGGGGTAGGGTTGTAACGCTACAACCCCTTCTCCATTTTCCTCTTGGGATTGTGGGCATGCATGCACAGCATATTGTTTTCAAATCGCCGGGTCCGAGACTTCGGCTATGTGGGTTACAGCCACTTTAACCACCACATGGCCGCTAGTCCCAGACGTGCTCTAATTTACCTCACAGTTTCTACGGACACAGTCTGTTCCAGCTTTTTACCATGAAACCAGCTGCTACCATGAAACCATGGCATCAAGTTTTTCCTTTTGCTACTAGGAGAATCCTCGTCCTCTCCCAGGCTCCAAATTTTGGGAGCTATTTTAACATTTCAAACCCTTTGTCGCCCATATTTTATCTATTATAAAGCCTAGTCACTACCTTCATGGTACCTTCTCCTGGAGTAACCATGCAGGGTTCTCTTCTGAGTTCCCATACAGTCCTCTGACTGTCTCCACCCCCCTTTCCTTTTAGCCCATCAGCGTATTACTGCTCAAACCTGACTTCGGGCACATCACGTCTCTGCTCAGAAACTCCCTGCAGGCTAAAGTTCATACTCCTAGCCGAGCATCCAAGACTCGGCCAAAGTTGATTCCAACCTTTCCTGCAGCCCTATCTCCCCACCTGAACCTATGACTCCAGACAAACTGACCACGAGGGGTGCTGTCTCTGCTCGCTCAGAGCCACACCCACTGCTGGAAGGCTTGTCTGTCTTTTTGCAAACGTACTTATCAGACCCAGTTCAAGTTCTACTTTTCTTAATGAAATGTTTGATGGCTCATTTGATCCTCATAACAACCCGGGGATGTAGAAAGGACACATAGTCTTATCCTTATTGTGCAAGAGAAGAAAATAACCAGATTAAGTGGCGTGGTCAAGTTTTATACAGCTTAATAGTGTATGGCCAGGCTTTAAAGTCCAGGGCTTCTGTCCTGAAATTCAGTGCCTTTCAGGGCATCTACAAATACTTGTGGCGCTGCCTGTGCCCCCGTCATATACCCAGAGATACGGACCAAGATTCAGCAGCTTCTGGGTTCCAGACACATAACTGACAACAAGCAGGTAACTGTAAGCGTGAACATCTTTCAAGTCCGTCCCTTCCCAGCAATGCACAGCAAGAACTTGGGCCATTCCCAGAGAGAGGAAGACAACAGTATTTTCCTGAATCATGTCAGCTCTCAGAACAGCACTGAACTTGACTGGTCTAGCTGGGCCCAAGATCCTAATAAAAAAATAGGCCACCTCACCATGAGACAGGCCGGAAATGGGGAACTTGCTGGAAGTTGAAGGGCTTTAGAGGACTGAAGGGACTATTTCTCAGGAAGCAAAAAGAGAGTGCATCTTTTCTGTTATATGAGTAAATGTGTGACCATGACATTGCCTGAAACTGAGGCAGCCTACAAGGGAAGGTCTAAATGTTGCATGGAAAATGAGGTGGATGGTGGTGCTACCACGCAGGGCCATGAGCACCCACTGTCCTGGCCACTTCACAGAGAGAATTTCCTAAGACAAGGGAAAGCAAGGTGCCTACTACCACTCTTTGTGATTTACTTAGCCATATGGAAGAGTCATAGCAGTAAAAAAATGACTTAACCAGCTACAACCTATGGCTGATAAGAAAGTGTGATCATGATTCACTCAGAATTTTTTTTACCTGGAATGCATTTCCTGATATCCACTTACCTTTTGTCGTTTAATCTAATAAAATGCTACAGGTTAAAAACAAAACCAGAAACAAACATCCCTGGTCTAGACAGTGCAACCTATGCTGATCCCTGCATGCCACTCTGACTAGGCTGGGCATGGCTGCCACCCCTCACCTGCTCGGGATGAGGGGAGCCTGTACTCCTGAGAGAAGTGCTGTCAGGATGGGGTTCCTCCAGTTTTTTCCTATACAGGGTGACTCAGGTCCTCTATTCTCCTTGGCCCTGAGGCCAGGGAGAGGCTAACCAGAGGGATGTTGTCCTTGATGTTGATGACAGTAGCCACCATAAATGCAGTGGTGTTTCCTACATGGATACATGGGAGAAATCTCAGGCATGCCGTGATTTCCATGAGAGCGGGTTATCCAACATGGAAGCGAGCTTGTTGTTGGAGTGAGGGGTGGGTCTTAGCAGCCTTAACTCCTAGGAACAGTGAGTGTCTTGCATCCGACAGCCCAGCATACTTGCTAAGATAAAGCATCAGCCTCTTCAAACTTCCATGATGTACACACTCTTCCGGTAAATTAAAAAACCACAAGAATCATGGGGTTACTTGCAGCCATGGAGGGACGTTTCTCAGTACTGACCAAACAAGATGGGTTGGCAGCACGCAGTCTACCGTGTCCGAGGCTACTCACCGGCTCAATTTTCAGAGCATTTCGGTAGCTACCGAAGAAAGCGGCCTGAGCCTTGAGGAAAGCTCTGGCCACGCCATCACCAGTTGTTGTGGAGACCTTCTTCAGTCTGCTCTTCAGAGAAGAAATCTGGTGACAGAAAGAAAACACAAGTTGAGGACAGGGTCAAAGGTCAGCTGAGTCCAGGACACATGGAGCCCTAGAAAATCCCTTGGACAGAGGACTGGTTTGATGCCTCTGCTGCAAGACAAAAACACATTTAGTTAGGCAGGCTTTGAAAATTGCGCCTATAGGAGTGTGTCCAATAAAAACCAAATAAAACTATTATTTAAGCAGTTACTTTGGGCCAGGTAAATTATTTCACATACTTTTTAATTTAATTCTTTCAACAGCCCGGTGAATTCCCATTTTACAAGGGTGACAGTCTAAGAGAGTTTGGGTTACATGCCTATAAATAAACTCAAGAAGTGACCAAATTGGAATTGGAATAGAAAAATCCTGTCACTTGTGCCCAAAACACACCAAGACTTTTAGTTCCAATTCCATTCCCTCTTCAAAGTACTTACAAATATTAGAAGTAAAAGGCTTATTTATATACCTCACACATCATACTCTACAGAAACAGTGGCCACTTCTAGATATGTACTCCACAGGTTAAAACAAAGTAGACAAGAAACCAAAGGCAAAAGACAAGCTAGGAATAAATATAGTATATAAATATAAGCTATGAAGTGTTACATGGTGGCTAGAAGTGGTCTTTGAGTGTGACATAAGAGCCTCCTGGTGACCACAGCAAAAAGGGAAACATGAAACTTAGGAGATTCATTTGGTCATGTGTTATAAGCAAAACAGCTGCTCAAATGAATAAAGGTTTTCCTGAAAGTGAGGCCTGAAAGAGATTTCTCCCATGTATCCATGTAGGAAACGCCACTGTGTGATGTGGCGGCTACTGTCATCAACATCAAGGACAACATCAAGTTTCTTGGATTACTTCTAGTAAGTCTTCCATTCATTTCCGGATGCTATAGTGCACAAACTTCAAGGCACACAACTCGTCCTGTATTTCAGGTGAAAAATGACCCTGGAATGGTACAATGGGATGACCTTGAGTCATTCATTTATTTGACAAGGATTTATTGTTTCCTATATGCTCAAGACTATGTAGAGTGCTGAGGATACAGTGAGAGTGGAGCCAGTCATGGGCCTGTCCTGATTCCACTGGCATGCAAGTGAGAAAAACAGCAACACACGGGATATCACTACTGTGCCTCCTGCGAGGGAGCTTGCCAAGGATGGCAAGGAAGGCTTCCTGGAGGGAAACAGACTTGGACTGAGACCTGAAGAATGAGTTAAAGTATTTACAGTTAAGAAGGCAAAGAGAGCAGAGAACAGTGTGTTAGGTATAGGGAGTAGGGTACCAAAGTCCTACAGGAAAGAAGAGTTTAGATAACAGAAAGACTGTGGCTTCTGTGGCGAGAACTGGCTAAACACGAAGCTGGAGAGGAAGGCAGGAATCAGATGGGATTTTCTCCATCATCTTGAGAGAAAGAGAAAACCAATAATTGTTTTTAAGCATGCAGGTGACGTTTCAAGAGCACATCTCAGGGTAACTAATTTTGTAAGGGACTTGGACTAAGTCTCAAGTTATTTAAGGATAAAATAGAACATTAAATTTAGGTGGTCATGAACCATCTACACCTTTGCTGTATGAGTGAATGATGGTCATTTTTCTGGCCGTGGGATCCATAGCTTTCCTCAGATACCTAAAAATGTTGAGAATCTGGGATGGACTACATAACTTTAGAAATGATCCATGGACCGTCTATTGTATTACCAAGCTTCTGATAAGAGAATTTTTAAAAAAGTTTATTGGGACAGATTTCAAGTATCATAAAAGTAATTTATTTAAAGGGAATGCTTCAGTGGTTTTTGGTATAGTCACAAGCTTGTACAACCGTCACTGGTACAACCTCAGAACATTTTTATCGTCCCACACGAAACCCCATAGTCATTAGCTGTCACTCTCCATGCCCATTCCCCACCGTCTCTACCGCAGTCCTAGCCCTGGGCAACACTAGCAAGTAATCATTAATCTACTTTCTGTCTCTATGGATTTGCCTATTCTTTTTTTTTTAATATTAGGGTTTTTTTTAATTTTAAAAAATTTATTTATTATCATAATCTTGTCTATATTACATTGAATCACATATAACTCTACAGTGTATTATATTTCTTTTCCCAGAAGGAATACCATGCATATCAGTCAATACAAAGATATTAAAATCCCCCTCATCATCATCTCATAGCTTTTCATTTTTTTCAGATTACTATTATTGTTCCAATTATTTTTTAAACATTTCATCACTATATATCATTTTGCTTGTAAAAAGACTTTACCCAACAGGAAATACTTCTCAGATCATTCCAGTTGAGAATACTATACACGTCATCTTCAACAGGTAATAAGCCCTATCTGTATTCCACTAATGCCATGCCTCTCTATTTGCTTCTTGCTATCCTTTTCCATACTCTTCTCTTCTCTTGCCTCATTCCACACTGTCTTATCATCGCTAACTATTTTCCAACCACTTTCTATCAAATGCCAGGGTCTTGTTATTTATGGCTGAGTAGTATTCCATAGAGTATATGTGCCACACTTTTTCAATCCATTCAGTTTGTGGACATCTGGGTTGGTTCCATGTCTTAGCGATTGTAAATAATCCTGCAATAAACATTGATGTGCAAGCACTTTTTCGACTGAGCAGTCTTCCGTTCTTTGGGTAGAAACCCAGAAGTGGGATGGATTGCCTATTCTGAATGTTTAATATAAATGGAATCACACAATAGGTCACCTTCTGCAATTGGATTCTTTCACAATAACAAAAATAATGCTCATTATAAACAAGGTTTATCTATATTATAGCAGTATCTTATTCCTTTTTATCCTCAAGTAGTACTCCATTATATGGATATATCAGATTATACTTATCTGGTCATCAGTTGATGGACAACTGGGCTATTGCCACTTTTTGGGCTTTTATAAATAATGCTGCTATAAAGATTACGTACAGGCTTTTGTATGGAGATAGCAGATATTTTGGGACGAGAATCCCTAATAGTAAAAATCTTCTGTTGCCAAGAAAATAAACTGAAAGGACACAGGAAGTCACGGGCACAATGCTTGGCACTAAGTGAGCCCTTGAGGAATGATAACTGAACACAGAGAAATAACCCTATGCTTTTGCTAAGGGACATATGATATGCTTGGACAGTAAACGAGTGAAGGTGGGCCTGATGTCCTCTACCAAGTCAGAAGTGCCGGAACACACTTCAATGGGGTGGCTTCCCATCTCTGCTCCCAGGTGCCTGAAGAAAACAATTTTCCTCCTAAGCAGTCTGGAGTCTACACAGTCCGAGTAGATACAACTAGTGTGTTGTGACCTCCCCTCTTCTGGGATGGATGAACCCCACCATGGCAAGAGGCTGGGGGACTCCTGCAGGTCACCTGATACCCTGGCAGACTCTGCGGTGGACTTTCAATTGGAGATGAAAATACGAAAATGACACGTGCTTTATTAAAATGTTAAAAATATTCTCCCACACTCCACCCCCCAAATAATAAAAATCTGGCTCCTCCAGGGGACCGGAGTGACATTTCTGTCCTTTGAAATGGTGCAAGCCTCTGTGGCTCTTCTGCCTCCTCAAAGGCCCTGGGCCACCTGTGCTGCAGATTATGCCTCACTTAACCTTCCCTGGCCTTTCTCTTTCACTCGGGAGGTGTTTAATTACCTTGGACTCACAACGCTGCACTTCAGGTGAGCCTTTCCTAATGGCCTCATTACCATTTTACACAAAGAAGGAGCCGCTGATTGTAACTGAGCAAATAGGAGTGCGTTCCTTCCAGTCTGCCCCAGCTGGCCTGAAACTAGCCAAGTGGTCCTGGGCTCTGATGCCTCTGTGACCACGTAGGCCAAGACTTCTGAAAACCCCCTTTGCCCCGCATCACGGAGAAGCTTTTGTCTCGACCTGTGAGCACCTCGAACTTTGAAACTGCAAGTATCTGTGCATCTGATAGCTAGTGGTAACATTCGTCCTTTAAATAGAAGTGAGGGAAGATACTTTAAGGTTTAAATAACCCACGGTTATACATCTAAAGCTGAACCTGCCTCACAACTCCTGGAGGTGCTGGTCAAATCATTAACATTGGGGCTCTCCGGGGGGTAACTTGGGGGTATTGGAAGGGCCAATGGAATGGCTTATTCCTTTAATCAGGAGTCACAGGAGGAAGGTCGAAAACAAAGGGAAGTGAGTACAAAACTGAACTCATCGTTCTCAAGGAAGCTCCCCTCCTTCACTTCTGGGCCCCTCTTGGTTGCTGTAGCATCTTTCCCCAGTCTCCTAGGCTGGGTGTCAAATCCCTCCCTCTTCTTCCGCCTTCCCACAACTATCTTCCACTTCCCAACACCACTGCTCCAGAGAGGCCCCAAATCCGCCCTCTCCTCACAGTGCCCTTGACTTTGGTCCTAGAAGGTTCTGCTCCCTCCATCCACTTTGCCCCAGACTGGTGGAGTAGCTTCCTAAGTGGACTCCTCCCTTCAGTCTCTCCTTAATGCCAGCCACCCCACAGCTGTCCCAGAACTCTTGAAAAAACCCAAATCCTTGAAACCAGCAGTTGGCGTAATGGCTATGTGGCTGGATTCCCACGTAGTCGACCACGGTTCGAGACCCGGACCCAGTGGCTTAAACTCACACCGGGTGCTTGGGTGTGTGTGCCCAAGATTCTGAGAGGAGAATGGAAGAGAAGGGATTGCGGCATGACCATCTCTCCTGGGGGGCGATTTCTCGCGTTCTATCTCTGTCTCTCTGGCAAGCGCAAGCACCTTATAGTAAAAACCTCTCAAAAAAAAAAAAAGCCAATATAAACAAAAACAAAACCCAAATCCAATAATTTCCAGTAGCTTCCTGAGTGGGGTCCTCCCTTTAGTCTCTCCTCAATGCCAGCCACCCACAGCTGTCCCAGAACTCTTCTAAAAACTCACATCCAATCATTTCCACCGCCCCATCAAAAACCTTTTGATGCCCAAACTTACACCATCATCACCTTCAGAAGGAAATCCAAATTCCCCAGA